ACATGCACAGAAGGCTCGTCTTTGGACATCAAACTGACTTTTTTCTTCAGGTGTTTTCCCACCTAAAATCTGACCATGGCCACGGGTATTTATCTTAAAAAAATCTCATGCCACTTTCCAGTTTCAGCCTCTTGCATCACCCCCTCCAACCCATGAACAGAGAGTCTACCTTTATGAGATCCGACTGCTGAAAAATGTGTGATTGTTTGTCATCAAAGGGAATGGGCACTGCTTATTTCTGCTCCGAACTGAATCATGCAAACTTTACTTGTATGCTCCTCTGGTGTTGTGTCCCTAAATGACCCAACTCATATTTATGTGCCTTATAACAAATATTTGTAGCGCGAGTCGAGTCTTGTTTAAGAAAATGTTCACGGTGCCAGCTCAATCCAGCATACATACTCCAGGATATGGAATCTGCTGTGAGATGCCTGACTGTCAGAGGAGCCTGTCAGCAGCCGCAGTTTCTGGCTGTTTACCAGCCTGTCCTTTATGATGGACTGTGGATTGCTGCCAACACCAGATAGTTTCCTCCCAAAAGTAAAATCCCTGGCATGCACTGAAAGTAAAAATTACAGTGAAGGAGACACTTTCTTCTAAATGACCTTTGAGAAAGTCTTAGCAAGCTCCGACTTTAATTACTTTCTGGATAAAAGCAGAGTAATGGCCTTTTCTTTCCCTTTCTGTAGAAAAAAAAGAAAAAAAAACTTTTTAAAACTGCTCTAATTAATACGACGCCTTACTTTCTAACAATGTATCTAACTGATAGATTGCAGGTAGACATGTTTGATCATTTCCTTGAATTGAAAGGTTCTTAAAATTGAACAAGTTTAATAATTTTTAAAGAATTTTGCTTTCCATTTAGATGCTGCCCACTGTACACCATATATGCTCTCTTTAGAAGTACAGACTTTTCAGATCAACAGTGACTGACAGAAAAGAATGATAATAGCATCCATACATATATTCATTTTGGCTGTTTTAAACTCTGCAAACCTATCAGTTACTGTGTGCTTTTGTCATGTCAGACCCCATTACACGTGACACAAAATATGATTTAGATACATAATTACAAACACATAATAAATACATAATACATCATTCGAATGGTAATGTATCAAAGCCAAAAGAGAGCTGACAGATGGCGAGAATTACTGATAGTGTTAGTGATGGTGGTAGATGGGCAAAGGATTTCCTCTCTGCACTCATATGTGGTTTTTACAATGGCCACTGCTTTTATCGGATTGATGGATTGGACTCAAACTTTCAAAGTGCTGTGTGTAGGATTCAGCAACATCCTATGCTTTCCTATCCTATTCATATACACATCTTTTAAACATGCATAAGATCATTCTGTGGTCACAGAAGTAGGATGTATAAGAAAAAACAAGTTTTGCTTTTGCAAGTACCGCCATTCAAAATCCCCTGAGATGAACTACTGACTGAAAGAAACAAATCCTGTTTTTGTTTTAATAAACTTACAGGTGCTGTGGGTCAGCTCTCAGAAGCTGCTCTCACAATTCCAAGGTGTAGTGACGCATCAGATACTATGAAATGTGCTTTTCTTTCATAGTTTACCAAGCAAAAGGTATTTTAAATTGACAGTGAAATCTCTGAAGGACTACCACCCTATCCCCTGGTAGTCCCTTGGAGACTTATGTATAAGATCTACAGTATATATACATAAACATATGATACAACATCTTTTCAATGTGAATAAATCTGAGGTTTGAGAACAAAGACGATAACTGAGATCCAAAATATTAAAAATGGGCAGATTTGAGTATGGGGGTTTGCATCAACAACACTCTGGGCTGAAATGTATTCTTAATGAGGCTCAGCACTACGAAAGACTAGTCCACATATGTCCAAAACTAACCATGAGCCTTCCCTGCCAGGCTAAAAACAGTTTGCAAAGACCTCTTTGTTAGAGTAGCAGGTTGCCTGAAGAGAGCAACTCCGGCTGCAGAGTAAACCAGTTTCCTATCAACAACAACAACCTTTTCTGTGGACTGAAGATGGCTGCCGCTGAACGAGCATCCCATTAAACTGGAACATGAAAGGTCTCTGGTGCTATTCTGTGTTGACAGCTATCAGAACTCCAATAACTCTGGCCTCTATCTCCAGCAAGCACAAAGGTACAAGAGCGCAGAAAATTCCTGGGTTCCTAAAAGCACCTTTCTGGTGTCTCGTTATCACATATTAAACTAAACATTTATTCTGGAGTGTGCTGTTTTCTTTTCATTGGTGTGACATCTGGCCCCATTCTGTCCAGGTTCTAACAAAAATAATAATAAAAAAAACAATCATACAAGCATTAAAGAGGAGATTTCTCACACATCATAATTAAAAATGACAAACATTTTGCCCGAAAGCAAAGATTAGATGAAAGAATGCAACGGATGCGGACTTTGACACACTGGAAGAATAATTCTCATGACTGTGGAGACCCAAGAGTTCCATAGAGGAAACAACATCCAGGCATTCATTCTCTCATCTGAGTCAGAACATTAGTGGCAACAGACCAGCTCTGCATCCTAACAACATCCTCCAGCTTCTCCTTTGGGATCACAATGCTTTCAAAGCAGGGGGATACATTGAGGGGGAACCTGGCCTGTCCCAGTGTTTCTGTGTTCCTGTCAATCACGCATAGTGCTTTTCCAGACAGAACCACCAGTGGGCTTCGCTTCGTTCAGTGATTGTTAAATGTTAACACCCACCGAACGCATGGATTCCCTCTAAGATTTGTGTTGTCGTGCTGTTACGGTCACAGCAAATCGTGGACTACGTGGTTTCGAATTCAAACACTCACAAATGAAAAAGGAAGCGTGTCTGTTGAAATGCAAATTGTATCAGTCACAGCAAAAACACACTGACATTTCAAAGTCTTCCTGGGCTCAAAGAGTTCAGGTGTATTGCAGTTAAATGCAATACAACGATTGAATGAAAGAACGTCACATTATCAACGGAAAATCCAGTATTTCCAGCAAATATTTCCATTTTCAAGTACTAACAGCCCCACAATTGGTGGAAAATCTTAGGGGATAAACCAGAAATGCCAATCTGACTTTCATTCTCCGAGGTACTATATGCCCACTTTGAAACAAAATGTTGAGAAATTTCCCGCTGACACTCAATTTATTTCCAATTCTCTTGCAAAATTAGGTTTGAATTACATCCCCTTCACAAGGTCTTGGGGTGTATAACTTTCAAGTTTAGTTTGCCGGGGCATTTTTCATGAACCTCCAAATGCAGCTCTGCCTGCAGCACAACCCAAGGCCCCTGACTGCTCTGCTGTTAGGGGGTTTAGGGCGGTTAGGCTGCAAAAGCTCTGCAAAACTCACCTCTTTCAGTGTTTGGCACTCCTAAATTAATGGTTGGTATGGAAGGATCAGCCTGGTCACTGTAGTACTCTAAAAATAAAGCATCCTTTTCCCAAGTCTTCTTTATCACTGGAACTGAAGCAGAGGGGAAGAAATGAATACAGCACTAGCAAAGTTTCACAACAAGCAGAGATGTGACTTAATCCCTGAACATGTCTGATGTTTCTAGTCTGCTTTTAGTAAAATATTCATTTGATGAGGGAAAATGAATAAAGCAGGATACTGAGATGCTGTTCTGTGACTCATTTAATCCTTTCAAGTTGTTCAAAGATGTCATAAAACAATTTATTTGGAGTAGATGAGTTCTTATACTGTGCAATCTTTATATATTTAATACATTTTTGTGTTGCTTTCAGGGATTTCAAATGTAAAATTTTCACTGTTACCTACAACACAAATTTCAGTGGTCTCAGGGAAACATTTTGAGATGTCACTGTTTTAGCGTACTGTAGCTAATGGCTGTTCTCAACTCTCATAAATCAACATAAACAGAGTGCAATGCTAAACAATACACATATAGGAACAGAAACTGAAACACCTTCTCAAAAGCAGACAAGTAAACAAGAATGGCAATTACAGTTGAACATGAAGGAGTATTTAACAGTCGCTTTCCAAATTCAGTTATAAAACAGACTGCAGCACAGAAAGCTATGCAAAGGAAAACATCACTTTGATCCGTACTGTAAATGTTAGCTGAAGTTCAGCCTGTCTCAGCTGTCACCGGCCAAGGCGTGGAGCACGCTGTGCAGGTCACCGGTGTTTTAAGCTGGTCAAAGTATCCTATTAAAATGTATGCACCTGGACCTTTGGCAAATAACATGCCATATATTCTACCCTATTGTGGCATGGTGCCATAAGTAATATATGGATATATGTTTAACCCCGTTAACCACATTGAACATCACGTCTCTGAATTGACATATCGGTGTTCACTCTTGGTGTGCTAGAAAAAACAAGCACTGAGAATGTTCACATTTCTTAGGAAAAGTAGGAACACAAATTCATGATCTGAGAAAAAGCTATCACGTGTCCTCATATATCATTAAATACATAAATGTCACTTTACTTTTCCCCCAAAACAACTCTCTCCCAGACACAGTCCCACAAAAAGCAACACCCTCTGAAGCCCTTCTGGGCAAATATTGATATGGATTTAAGAATTTTTGAATATATCTTCAATGTTTAGTCGCTCTAGGTGCGCTAGCAATAGTGAGTGACGTTGGTTCTTTTGAGCAAGGCAAACACCAACCCCATGAAAGAACTGACTCTATATATTTGTGTTCTTGAGCCTTGTGTGCCTGTTTGTTTTAAGCTTGCTCTGGATATTTACTTCTGTTGTACAAGTCATTCTCATCCAGTAAATAAAGAAACAGGAAATAAAATAGTGTCATAATGTCATAGTGTGAGGCAGGGACACTTGTTTCACTTCATAGAGATTATTGTGCTCCGTGTTCACCTCTCTGTGTTCCACAGAAAAGATTTTAATTAGAACACTAAGTGAAACCACTTACTTGTCTCTTGCTCTATTGATCTATACGCTTACCTCTGATACACAAATCTAATAGTCATTTTTATCCTGCCTCCATTTGAAGGTGATAACAACAGTTTGGCACAGGAAATGGTAATTGAAGTCATTAGAAAAAACGACTTTCAAGCAACTCCCCTTTTTATGTAGTGCACAAATTGTTTGATCGTGTTGTAATTAATTTCACCATTTCATCTATTGACTTAACCTGGTCCATTTTCATCAGGTAAAAGAGAAGCAGATTTACTGTGAATAGCTTAATGTTGGTCAGACGGTGCCAGTAAGTGGTGTGCTTGTGCTTTTTGAGCGTGAAGTGAGACGCTGAATGAAGTACTTCACAGTATTTTATTTTTATCCTCATAATGAGGAAACCCTTTCAGTCTTGACAGTGGAATGAATTAATACCAGACCTTAAATTACAGTGGCATATGAATGACTCCAAGTCACACATGTTAGAGGTAAAATCAATCCATTTCCAGTAAACAGCGGGACTAAAATGCAGATCTCTCAAAGGGAATACGGGTGACTGTGGGAGTGGGAGGGTGACTCACCTCGTTCACTGTGAAACTTCCCACACGTTTTCACAGCAACAAATATATCTTTTTTATGTACAGGCTCTCCCTGGGTGGAAAAAAAAACAGACGAATCCGAATGAATAAACCACATGCATCAAATATATTATAAACTGAATCTGAAATATACTGTATGCGGCCAAAAGTGTTGAAATTCCGGTTTCGGGGAATTGGTAGGAGCTGATATCTTTATACTGAAAATCTCTGTGCAAATGCCCTGAGGTAACTGTG